TAGCGTGGTGTCGATTTGAGCTTGACTATGAACACCGCTACCAGACTACGTGCCAATAGACCAATAAGATTCCGGTAGGCCAAAAATCAGAAGGCAGATGATAATAGTAGTCTTAATATATTTGTTGGCAATCTCGTGGTATCGAAAGAATACCGAGATCGTGCCAAAGGAGTACAGGTGCGATCGGCAAGAAAAGATACGTGCGTAGTCGAAAACCGCGTAGAAGCAATGGAATACAATGGAAGACTAAAATGGCTGTTATTAGCACAGTTAAACAAAAGAGCACAGTAAAACAGTCACTGGTACAATTGGTTATAATAATAATTGTTTTCATCGAACCAATCGCGTTCTGTTGACAAAAGTAGGTCACTACAGGAGCCCCCCGCTAGAAAGGGTTTACACTTTCGATAGTTAGCGGTTTGATTCGTGGGACTGATCGGCAGAAGTGCGGTTGTAGGACGGAGGAAATTGGCGGAACAGGAAGTGATCATTGATCCTCGAGTTGCCAACGAAGGTCTTTTGCGCAGAACGGTCGAATTTGCATACCACACCAGAGTGGTTTGTATCGAGAATCTGATGATTGCGTTCGTAAGGATGCGAACCAGAAAACGCTGAAGACGTAGGACGAAACCACGTTGAGCCAAGAAACCGGACGCGACCATAACGACCAAGCGTATGCCAGGCGAATTCGAGTCCAGATAATCGACTGAGTGAGTTGACTAGAGCATGGGTGGCCAAACAAGCTTTTGCCAAAGTTGACTGAAGTCGACGTTATCAAACGGGCGATGGTCGGAGGCGTGGGCTCAGGATACAAAAAAATCAAAAAAAGAAAAGTGTAGCATGCGTGTAGTATAGGAATAATCTTACACCGTATCTGTTATTGACTGTGCGGTTAGTCGCGAAAGCGTACGGGTAATCGTACTCGGCGACCGGAACGTGAGACGGTGGTCTCGTTCGTGCTTCGTGAGCCTGCGATCGCATCCGAGGTCAAGGGCGGCGTGGTATGCCGATCTGGACGTGAGACGGAAGTCTCGTCCGTATATGGTGCAGATGGCGCGTGCTGTTGACCGGGGCGTGAGAACGAGGTCTCTGATGTATCTAGCGTGGGATCCGAGGTAGACGTAGAGATCCCACTAGAAGGTTTGATAGGTCTAGCATTGAGTCTCAAGTTATCGGCTAGGGCACTGTCATCGACGTGTGCTGGTTTGAGACGATCAATGCTGACGATCTCGACGCGGCCGTGTCGATCAACCTTGAAGGTCTTTTCGTGACGAGAGATCACGTGAAAAGGGCCTTCGTAAGGCTGTTGCAAAGGTTTGCGTACCGAATCTACTCGTATGAAAACATGTGAACAGGTAGATAACTCTCGAGGGAGAGCGACCTGTCGATGTTGTATTCGAGTTGACACCGGAGACAGCGTTCGCATAAATGCAGACAGTCGATGGACGTAGTCTGATTTACCGAAATCATTACTGCTCCGTAGTGTGAAGAATTCCCCAGGCAGACGCAATGTCGTGCCGTAAACAAGTTCAGCGGCGGAACATTGGATATCTGCCTTCAAACTCGTTCTGATACCTAAGAGAACGAGCGGTAAGGTTTCGTACCAATTGTCGTTTTCGTGTGCTCGAAGAGCAATTTTAAGTTGGCGATGAAACCTTCCGACTAAACTATTCGATGCTGGATGGTAGGCGGTAGTGCGTATTCGTTCCGTACCAAGCAGCCGGGTCAGTGAGGAGAATAATGCGGACTCAAATTGTTGTCCTCGGTCAGTCGTGACAGTCGATGGACAACCGTACAATGCTATCCATCGTTCTACGAAGCGGTGAGCAACTGTCTCCGCCGTGATAGACGTGATGGGAATAGCTTCGGGCCAACTTGTAAAACGGTCAATGCACGTGAGTATGTGATCATACCCATGCGATGGTGGCAATGGTCCTACAATGTCTATATGAACGTGATCAAAGCGAGCATCAGGCGTAGCGAACGTGCCAATGGGGGCAGCTACGTGCCTGTGCACTTTTGATCGTTGACACTGTAAGCATTGCTTTACCCACATACGGACATCTTTATTCATGGACGGCCAGACGTATCGTGCAGCGATGAGGCGTAATGTGGCTGCGATACCTGGATGAGACAATCCATGAAGGGCATCGAAGACGAGACGGCGATAGGTAGAGGGTACGATGGGTCGAGGAAGACCGGTAGAAATATCACATAGGATAGTACCTGAGCTAGTAGCTAGGGGTACTTCCTACGGCACGTTTTACTCCCTGATTGCTCGAACTTTGTCCTCGCAAGGCAGAATACCCTCTTGTCTGATGATGTGACCCAGAAATATTATTTCTGGTTTACCCAATTCACATTTGTCTGGGTTGACTACTATTCCATTATCCGAAAGACGTTGGAATAATAGCGTAAGGTGTTGATAATGTTCATCTACGTTTGATGATGCGATCAGCAGGTCATCAATATAGACGTGAACAAAATCCAAGTCTCGCACTATGCTATCGATAAACCTTTGGAAAGTTTGAGTAGCATTCCGTAATCCAAATGGCATTCGTAGGAACTCAAACAGACCGAAAGGAGTCGTGATAGCAGTTTTCTCGATGTCTTCAAGAGCGACTGGGATCTGGTGATATGCTCGTACCAGATCGATTTTAGAAAAGATAGTCGTGCCCTTGAGCGATGCCGTGATGTCGTGTATGCGGGGGATGGGGTAACTATCAAAGCGCGTAACTACGTTTAATGCTCGGTAGTCGCCGCATGGTCTCCAACTAAACCCATCCTTTTTGCGCACCATGTGTAAAGGAGAGGCCCAAGGACTGTGAGAAGGACGAATAATACCAGCAGATAGTAAATTGTCAAACTCACGTTTAGCGAAAGCTAATTTGTCCGGTACCAGTCGGCGTGGTCTTGCCGTGACTGGTGGTCCGCGGATAACTATGTGGTGCACCACACGATTGGTCACCGATGAAATCTCCTCGAGTGGTTTAGTTAATCTGGGAAATTTCTCGAATAAAGCGTGGAATTTATCGTCACGCGAATAAAAAGTGCCGAGGATTCGGTACGCGTTTGTGTGAGCTTTAAAGCCCAAGAATTTACTGTTCGACGAAGTACCGATTAGCTGCAGCCTACGTGAATCGACTAGCAATTCATAGTGCTGTAGGAAATCAATACCTAGTATGGCTGTGGGAACATCAGCAATGATGAACGTCCACAGATACCGTCGTCGGTTGCCCAGGTTGACCGCGAGTTGTCGTGTACCGTAGGTAGGAATGGCTGAGCCATTTGCAGCGCGTAGTCGAAACATTGTAGCTTGTGACTTGATGATACCTCGTGGTACGACAGAAACTTGGGCACCTGTATCCACTAGGTACCTAGCGTTTGTGCGATAATCGTGCACGTAAAATAAACGGCCAACCTGGGGGGCAGGGCCGGCGAGTACGGCCGCTTTTACTCGCCGGCTTTGGAGTTTCCTGCCTTGTATGAGCACGGGGCTCGACAACGGCGGGCACCAGATCCGAAGGATCGATGAAACCAGCACCAACCTTCACTCGCTTCCGAAGCCGCCTTTTGGCGTGGCTTGGAAGATGCCCTCGTTGGGCGAGTGTTGACGGCTTTTCGAGAGCGTGAGCGGACTCGAGGGACGTAGGGTTGGGGTACGTTACAACGTCTCGAAAACTAAGACGTGTGTGAATACACCCTTCCCTGTCACCTTGAGCCGAGGAGTGGCTGCCTTCGATATCGACTTTCGGACGCGACGTTGAGGCAACTACGTAGTTGTCTCGGTTGCCAGTCCTAGCTAGAATTTTGTCTGCTGTGAGGGCTACCTGTTTCAGTGGTGCGTCCTCGAGCAGGGCCGTAACTGTGGGTTGGATAAATGCTGGTAGAGATTCGAGCCACAGTTCTTTAACAATTTCAGAATCGGCTGCCGTGGGTCCTGCAAGAGATTGCAGGCGCGTGAGGTGGTGGCTCGGTTTAGCATCACCCAGGGGGTGACGTGCTAATAACGTCCTCAATCGTTCCTCCCTCGATGGGAGGAAATGTTTGAGGATCGCTTCCTTGAGACGATCGTAAACATTGGGCACATTGGAATTGAGGACAACCTCACGGACAGCTACTAAATGGTCTCCCGGTAAACATTCGAGAGCGTAGGCGTACTTCTGCCGTTGGCTTGTAATATGACGGGTCTCAAATTGAGACTATAGCAGCAAACCAAACTTCGGGATCGTGAGGAATAAAAGATACAGGTCGAAAGTGTATAGCCTGTACGTCAGAGTCTATTACGTTAATACTATTCTTATCGTTATCCGTCATGTCAAATATATTATATGTTAAAAATTAATATGAAAATATATGACAGACGTGGATAGATAAGCGATAGACTCACCAAAATTGACTTCTTTGGAAGGTTTGGTTGCGATTGCCAAGTGGTCGTAGATGTAGATTCACCAGTTGCAGAAGATTTGACCGAAGTTGAGGCGTGTTCCAATAATTGGCTCACCAAATGTAGCGTGGTGTCGATTTGAGCTTGACTATGAACACCGCTACCAGACTACGTGCCAATAGACCAATAAGATTCCGGTAGGCCAAAAATCAGAAGGCAGATGATAATAGTAGTCTTAATATATTTGTTGGCAATCTCGTGGTATCGAAAGAATACCGAGATCGTGCCAAAGGAGTACAGGTGCGATCGGCAAGAAAAGATACGTGCGTAGTCGAAAACCGCGTAGAAGCAATGGAATACAATGGAAGACTAAAATGGCTGTTATTAGCACAGTTAAACAAAAGAGCACAGTAAAACAGTCACTGGTACAATTGGTTATAATAATAATTGTTTTCATCGAACCAATCGCGTTCTGTTGACAAAAGTAGGTCACTACAAGGGTTCTCAAGGCCACCGTAGTGTCGTCCGAAGGTTATCAGTGGATTGTGAACTCTTCTCAAGCTACAGCATATTTGAAATGGGTTAACAATTGTCTGTCATATACAATTTACAAATGGTCACTGATAACTCCGGAAAATCGCATGATATCTTGCTTTCTAACGAAAAGTTCGATCCGATCGAGTTGGAAGATCGATATGTTCATCAAGTACGTTTATACAAAAGCTGTGTCAGTATGCTAAATACATAGAGTGTCCTGTACATTGCCGCACTTTTGTTATTTGACTCACAACTCATAGTAAAAATAAAAAGGTAAACAATTTTAGCTAACTACCCACCTTTCACATGTGGTAAATAGATTTGAGTGATGATGTAGATTGAAAGCCTTGAACTCCAAATAAAGGGTGTAAGTATTCTCGCGAATTCTTCAAACATCGGGGGCTTTTTGAGACTGATTAGGGGGCGCAGATCGAATTTAAACGAAGAGATCGGATCCAAATATTGTAATCCTTAGAGGTGATGTTTTTTTACAGTGAATTAGGCGTAAGTGTTAGTGCCACAATTGTTTTAAAATCACTAGTCCCACAAATTATGAAGTAATGCAGAAGATCGAGTATAAGATATTTCCTTGTAAATATGTTTGAAGCAAGAGGTTGCTGGTGTTTGCTTGTCCATTGCTGGAAAGCTACATATACCACTATGCTTATAAGGGTGGGACCATAATCTATGGATGACCTTCAGCAACACCGAAGTAACCCGAGTGTCTGCCTGCTTACTAGTACTAATTGAGGTTTATAAAAGTTTGAAGAATAAGAATTACAATTCACAATTGATAGTCAGGGTTAGGAATTACATTTACGGTTTTCCATCACGAACTGATGTCAGCTATAATCCCAAGACCTGTTATCCTAAATCTGATTGGTTCTTCCATAAATTATATTTTCGCATGTGATGATATCTGTCTTCACCATCTTAAACCTACCATGTGGTAATTTCTAGCCTCGTTAATGTTAAATAAAACCGTATTGTTAGAAGAGTTAGTTAGTGCTAATGCAAGTCGGTTTCAAACCAAAAATAATGACCACTTTTCTATTTTATCACGTTGGAAATTTTTTTTATAAATGTACTCACACTGCTACTGCTGTATAGAGCAAAAATGTATCGTTTATTTCACCCAAAACTAATGGTGCTATATTAGTAACTAAATTGATGATAAAGTGCTCTTTTATTGTTGCTTACTTTGGTTTGTAAATTACAGACCTTTTACTAAAAGTGTGAGTGATGAAATATATATATATATATATCCTTAAGCGCAATACAATACTTTTCAGTCTAGTTTCCTGTTACTCCGTAAGAACTATATGATCTAGCTATTTTTTTATACTGCTGAAGCGATTCAATGTTGTGGTGTATTTGGTTGTGCGCCATTACGGCATCTGTCCACTTACATCCTTCCACTATTTATGTGCTTGACAGTATCAGAAACGATCATGTAATAGAATTACAGGTAGAATCCCTGTTTTCTCTCATGCATACATACCTTAGATTGTCATGTATTTCGCCATATATTGTGAGCAATATTTTCGATGTGTCCTCTCAATATGAAGGGGGTTCTTAATTTTACTTCATTTAATTGTTTTAAATCTCAACATGTATATCTGTTATCTGCATAGGTATATGATGTGATAGCCTCTGAGTTCAGTTCTACTCGACATTCACCTTGGCCTAGTGTTGTGAAATTTATTGAAGCACAATCACCGGATAGCCTTGGTGCTGACGTAGGTTGTGGAAATGGAAAATATCTTACTGCATCATCAAAATATTATGCTGCTATGAAAGCTAACACTTCATCAACTAGTGTACAGTGCAAAAGTATAGTTGCCACTTCTAATTTCATTCCTATTGCTGCTATGGAGAGAAGCCCCAAACTAGCAGAGATTGTATATAACAGAGGTAGGGTGTTTTACCTTGTGTAATTATTTATTGTATCAAGCATCTGATTATTGTTTTATGGTAAAGGTTTCACTTAATGTGAATATTACGAGTGCTTTAACAGGTTGTTTATAATAATACACATATAAGTTTCAAAGAATTTCTAAAATTGGAAGGTTGAGTAGTGACTTAGTGGCTTAAAGCCACTAAGTCCTGGGTTGCTGCCCCGCTCCAGTTTTTTCATTCTATGTGGCCGGGTAGTATCATTAGCCCTCACACTTTATCTGGCTCATTTATTTATTTATTTAATTTAACACGTAGATACTGGTACAAGGAGGCACCAAATACATATGCGCCACACATATCTCAATTGATATGTGTGAGGGCTGTGATACTGCCCGAGTGCCCGAACCGAAGCATGTGGTTTTCTTAGGGGACCACACCCGTAGCCTTCGACCTAAAGGTCTGATCCATGAGGCAATAGAGCATCGTAAGGAGATGTAGTCCCATGGTAGCCGGTGACCAACGATTGGTTTATACGCCATTTGTTCCCGCAGGATACTGGAGCCCATGTGCACCATTGATTTGGGGTCCGGTTAAAGCGCCGAACATTCGCTTTTCGTCCTCTCATTTTTGTAAACAACACCCCCGCCACGAGAAGGCAGTAAGTAGGACTTCCCTTATTATTTATTTATTTATTTTAACACATAAGTATAGGCACAGGGAGGCACCAAATACATATGCGCCACACAAATCTCAATTGATTTGTGTGAGGGCTGTGATACTGCCCGGGTGCCCAAACCGAAGCAGGAGAAGGACTTCCCTGGCAGAGGCTATATACGCATGGCCATGTGAGAGCATTTTGAGAGGGAGAGCGGACTCTCCCCACTCTCGGCCGTACCAGGGCATTTGGGGGCACATCTGGCTCATACTCAATTACCTGATAAATAAGTTAATTCCAGTTTTAAAATTTTTAGTTCTTTTCTAAAAAATGATCGGAACTAATTAGCTGATAAGTTGTCTTTGGGGGTTGGTGTGTTATTAAATTCCATTAGGTTTTATTACTTTTAACGGCAGACTGGTTAACTTCCCAAAATCTGATATCGTGGGTGATTTGGTGTCAGTTTTTTATGTTTGTTCTGCTAATATCAAATTTAGGTGGTGAGAGTTACTAGATTGTCATGTAGCGATTTTTGAAATTCATTGTAGTGGTACGTCTGTGACGGGATGATTATATTGTGAACATGTAATCGATTTATTTCAATCTTTTAATCACTTTATTTCTCGTTTATATTTATTATCAATTTTTTCGATTGATTGTTTTTGAACTTTTCAGGCTTCGATGTAGTAATAGGTGACATACTACGAATACCTTATTGTTCAGAACGTTTTGATTTTTTCCTATGCATAGCTGTTATTCATCATTTATCCACTATAGCTAGGCGTATAGAAGCAGTTAATGAGTTGGCTCGTATTCTACGCGTTGGAGGTCGAGGGTTAATACAAGTAATTTTCAATTAACATATTAACATATCCAATAAATACACATGCTAAAATCATTAAATCTTTATTTTATAACAACCTTGTCGCTTTTAAAATAGCCTCTGCTATTTCTGACAACACAATTGCATCATTTCCTTTTTTGTTGTTCAAACATTCATGTAAACCTTTAAAAGTTTTTTTTTAATACTTTATCTTTGTAAATATCCATCAACGTCCCACGAGTTTGCTGAATATATGTACTAAGTCTCACTGGCACATTATATATATAGACTTGATGAAAAGTAGTATGTACGCTAAATGTCTTGTTGTTAAACCCATGACTTTTACAGGTCTTATAACAAACCCGATGTCATTCAGCATTTCGGTCGTAGTCCAATAGTCTATAATGTAGAAGTAGAATTATCTGTCTTTGAATAAACTGCCTAATAACCATCACGAACTTCACTGTATTTTGCAGATGATCTTGAAAATGTGTATCAGTGGTTCAAATAATCGACTTTACTCCCAGAGCTATCGGTCAAAACATACCCAACTGCATAAAAGAAATATAGCTTGATCTTTAAATGTCTATTTTAAAAAATTCATAAATGTCTATTTTAAAAAATTGTTTTGCTTGCTTTGTTTGACCAATCGATACTTATCGTTCTCACTTATTTCCTCTTACATATTTCCTTTCAAGGTTTGGGCTAAAGAACAACATGGTATTTCAAAATCTGAACCGTCTTATTACGTTAATCGTAGGACAAAAACTGTTTGTAATGTCAGCGATTCTCCAGAATCACTCTCGAAATTCATTGAAGCTGTCCCCGGTACCTATTTACCATTACATGTCAATGGTACAGAATTTCAAAATACAGATATGTTAGTACCTTGGAAGAAAAAAAACTGCAAGGTGACCGATCAGTTGAAAGGTAAATATACTTTAACTAATTTATTTATGTCAACACATAAATATTGGTACAAAGGGGCACCAAGTACATATGCGCCACACAATAACAATGAGAGTGTGAAGAGATACAAAATGTAAACTGCGTATAATAAAAAATAGAACAACGACGAAAAGAAATTAGTGCATGAGAGTGAAATAATAATAATAATAATTGGAGAGGTTGTTCAGTCAGCGAACGTACAACCAGAAAGAATTCTTCCAGTCAAAGAAGTTACGTTCATTTTTTATGAAGAAAGTAGGCGAAAGTTACATCAGTATCGCCAATGGCTTCTATTCTGGGCCATATCTGATAACGTCTCTAGCCACTGTGTTGCACCATCTCCAGGACCCCAACCAGGGAGTCGTGAAGGACCAACAGAAGCCAGTCCTGTACAGCTTTCTTTCATACCATGATACCATGTCATATACTGACCACCTCCGCTTTTTTCCAACCAGTCAGCAAATAATGCACGATGTGGAATTCTCTTGAACGACATTCGTAGAACATGTCGAAGCCACCGAAGTCGGTGTTTCAAATGTCGTCTCTGTGCCCGAACACTCGATGCCGAACCCCTGCATTACTAACATGGTGTTACCAGTGGATTTCAGCAATGCTTCGGAGACAGCGATGACCAAACACAGAGAGTCATCTAACATCCTCAACTCAGAGAGGCCAGGTTTCACAAGCACAGAGCAAAACTGTTCTCACCGACACGTTGTAGATCCGACCTTTTACAGTCAGACTAACATCACACAGGCGCCAAAGATAGCCCAGATTGGCATAAGTCGCTCTGGCCTTCACTATACGTGAATTGATCTCATCACTCACGCCACCACCAGCACCTATGCAACTACTCAGATGCATGAACTTCTAGACTACTTCCATCTGCTCACCATCCAGGGTGAGTACAGGATTGGAATCCTGCCAGTTTTGTAAAAGTACTTTGCACTTGGAAGGTGCGAGGCACATACCATACCTACGGGCACTAATCGCCAACTGATTAAATGCGGACTACACGGATTGGGTGTCATCGCAGAGTAAGACAATGTCATCCGCACACCGAAGGTCGAGAAGTCGTTCTTTGGGCAACAGATCTACACTGCCGTTCCCTACATCCGTCAGATCTGTTTCTAGAACATCATCGACAGCCAAGTTGAAGAGGAATGGTGAGATTCAAGCCACCCTGTCTAAAACTACTGCTTGAGTGCGACAATGGGGAGAGATGGTTGTATGCCTTCACTGTGTCTGAGGTGTTTGTATATAGGGCTTTTAAGATGTTAATAAACTTCTCAGGTACGCCCTTCTTCAATAGACAATTCTAGAGAGCAGTCCTGTCCAACGAATCGAAGGCAGCCCTGATGTCAAGAAACACTAGGATTGTTGGCCGGTGATAAGTATGACGGTGTTCTAACATTATGCGGAGGGTGAAGATATGGTCGATACATCCTCGACCAGAACGAAAACCAGCCTGCTCATCGCGAGTCAATCTTTCTCGGGTTTTGAACAATCTACGAAGTCTGACGGAAGCTAATTGTTTGGACGCAATCGGAAATAGACTTGTCCCCCGATAGTTGCTACAGCAACGGCGTGAACCCTTGTTAAAGTTAGGGACAACTATCGACTCATCCTACGATGTTGGAACACTCTCTAATTGTCAGACATTTGTAAACAACCCAGTCAGTTCTTTAACCAGAAAGTCACCACCATCTTTCAAAAGAGCCGGGGGTAAGTCATCTGGGCCTGGTGATTTGTAGCGCTTCAAGAATTGGAGTTTCTTGCGGACTTCTGCCTTGTTAGGTTGGTCAGTCGCAACAGGCCATGGAGGACAGAACAGTCTGATCGATGTTGCCGGAACAGCAGGTCAGTTGAACTGCCCATCATCCAGGACGTCGATATATGTTAGTGATAAACATCTAGTCATTTTCAAAGATTGTTTCGCTCACACCAAACCTATGTACTGAGATAAAGAACTTATGTCGAGGTTGAAATAGATGAAACGTGTGTTATAATATATGTCTGACAACTGATGATAACTTTAGTTTGTATTATTAGCTCGAGAAGCAGAATTATATGTGCTTCATGGTGGTCGATCTTAAATTTGACATTACTATTCGTGGTCTTTAATAGTTGTTTGTTTGATGCATTCAGGAGACCACGGGGTTCTACAATGTGTGCCTTCAAATACCCTGTTAGAGCCGAGAGCGGGTAGAGTCAGCTCTCCCTCTTGAAATGCCGTCACATGACTACGTGCATACAACCATTGCCAGGGAATTCCTACTCACTGCCTTCTCGCGGCATCAATGTTGTTTACAAAATTGAGAGAACGAAAAGCGAATGTCCTGCGCTTTAACCGGGTTGGTGGACACGGATAATCCACCTAGGGAAGTTGGAAAACCTTGATTCCAAACTAATGGTGCACATAGGCTGCAGTATCCTGAAGGAACAAGTGGCGTATGAACCAATTATTGATCACCCGTTACTTCCAATTGCTACACCATGCGAAGTCCGTTAGGTCATGTTATAGTGGATATTTTCATGGCTAACCTCGAAGGAACCAAGCTCAAAGGAGCGATCAATGAAATGATGTATTATTCAAGGCATGTTGATGATACCTTCATCATATGTAATAATCAACAACATGCAACAAATCTGCTGAAACTTTTCAACGAAGTCCATCCAAATATCCTTTTTACTATGGAACAGGAAAATGAAAACAAGTTTTATTTTCTCGATGTTGCAATGAAACAAAGGAAAAGTGGCACAGTTCAAGGTTCAGTTTATAAGAAAGACACATGGAATGTGATTTATCTCAATTTCAATAGCTTTTGTCTAATCAGCTACAAAAAGGCACTTGTCAAAACACTATTTCACAGAACAGAAAGAATATGTACTGCTGATACACTAGAAGAGGAAGTTATGAATATTCAAAACTGTTTAAAGAATAACGGATACCCACTGGAAATTATTGAGAAATATGAAAAACGTGAAGATAAAAAACCGAAAGAAACTACAACAAATAATAGAAAACTTATTTTTATCCAACTTAAATTCAAAGGCGATGATATCACAGGATCAATCAATATGTGACCAGAAACTGCATTGACAAGAACTTATCCTGCAGCTAAACTGATTGTCCCGTCCAAGTCGGCAGGTATCCCTTACATGCTACCACCAACTGTGTATACAAATTTACATATATCTGCCAAAGCAGTTACATTGGTAGAACACAAACGAGAGCCTATGTCCGATTCAATGGACATATTCCCCAACGGTTAAGATCAAGTGGATTAAAAGCATTCATCAGTGCCATCGCAGGACATCTTGACACAGAACACGAAGTCGATACACTGAATTCCTTTAAGGTGATTAACAAACAATCAAACTCCAACCTTTTGAAATTTGCCGAAGCAATAGCAATCAAATGTTTAGAACCAGATCTATGTATACAAAAAGAAACAGTAATAAATCTTTCTTTGCCCTGGTAACATTAAACCCCCCTTTTTATTTATTATGTCACTCATTATTCCAACTCTTTCTGAAGTTTAAATTACATCATTCATAACCGACTGATTTCAATTGATATCTTTCTTTATTACCATTAATCTATTTTCAATCGCTTAATTACACATTCATCTAATGTTTGTTAACTCCATGAGTTCTAATCACTATTTTAATGTTCTGGAACTTTCTCTCCCAAACTTCACTTATCCGAAACAAAATTTTTTATGACCTTATTGAACTCGATCGGAATCTTCGCTACATCATCATACATATATTAATCTCTAATCACCCTCTTATGCATAAGTATGTCAATATCTGTAATAACATTGATTTTCAAGTAATTTAGGTTGTAAGCGGCTGATGAGAACCTAAAGAAATGAAGTCAATTCATATTATTCTGCAACAATCTTCGTTCTTTTTAACATTTTATTAATGATCTTTCCACCTTTTATCATGATCTGTTTTTTTGCTCCCATTTGATTGCCACTGTTATTACTACATTTATTATTTTTCCTCTTCCTCATGTTAATTTCCCCTTCTCTTTCTCCCTCTATGTATACATTCTTTATATAGTTGTAATGTCTTGAACTGTTAAACTACTTCAAGCTTGTATCTTTCTCTGTATGTTGATAAACAAATGTTTCACTGTTATATATGATACTAACTCTACGCTATGCTATCCAAAAGTCTGACGCAACTGCATATAAAAATCAACTACACAAGTTTTCAATATCTCTATTGATTTTCAGCCTCCAACATTGGAGAAGACAAATAAATAATGAAAGTTTATGAGAGCTCCAATATACAACTTAAAATCCATGCATATTCATGGAAAGACTAAGGATATATGTATACAACTTGATGCTCACATTTTGGAGAATTCAATGTTGTGACTTAGAAAATTCTCTTCTTAATTTATTCTGGTCGAGTCGCTGAAAAATATAACATTTCTCAATAAATGACTTTACAGAAACACATTTTTTCTTAAAACGTTTGAACAGATAGTCATTTGATCTGAGAAATTTATTACAGCATTTCTAAACACATCAGACATTGTTAGAATAATTGATGTACAAACTCGAAGGTGAGAAGAATTTGATCACATTTTTATTCAAGTAATATTCTGGGTATTATCATATTAGTGTCTGATAGGTTTCAAAACGGCTTATTATTTGTCATTATCTCAGTCGATATTATTTTAGATCTGTCGATTTATACGTGAATTAGGCGTCTATTTCATACAGTTCATCAGTAGTCTTAAATAACGTAGGTTATGTAACATAAGTGTTGTATATCACCGCAATTCGCCACAATATATACATTAGTATGGCAAAACGAAGTTAACATAATGAAAAAAGATAGAAGTCTAAATATTATTATTATTATTAGCGATAATCTTAAATTAAGCAAATGAAATATAATTACGAAAGAACAAATGAAATTTAATATAAAAAGCAGTATATAATACTCAAGATGGTAAGGAATAAATACAGCTGCACTGCTTTGGTCTATTGTTGACGTACAACGTTAAGATATCTAACAGTAAATAACGATTATTCCGCAAATATCAGTCAAGAATGTCTACGTCGTCGTAGATACACCTTCATCCGACAATTAATTACCTGGTGGTAACTTCTTAGGAATATCAGTAATTTTTTATTTTTGAATAATTCCAATTTGATATAACAGATAATAAGAATGACAATCATCTGTATTATTTTGTTTATCATAGAGTCTAATCAACCATTACCCGATTCAATGTATGGTCGTTATTATCATTTGTTTGTTATGGGAGAATTGGATGATCTAATATCAAAAGTACCTGCTCTAAAAATTGACAAATCTTTCTATGAACAAGGAAATTGGGTTGTACATATAACAAAAGTTGTATAAATGTAAATTTATATATACAACAAAAATTTATATTCATTTAATATATATATATTGATTACTTCTATGTTAGTGTATTCTTCACTTTCCTGGACTTGTTAATTAACATTTAACGGAATAGTAACATTTAATTGTTGACCCATTCCTAGTGAATTGGAAGGGTTTTCTTAGTTATTTCATTATATGAAAATCCTAATCTAGTAGGAGATTTGGTAAAAATGATGCAATAGAAAACGATAAGAGAATCGTCGACTTTCGTTCTGAGCCATGACTGATAACGTTTTCAGTCACTAAGATTGGACCTCGACTGGGGAGTCGTGACGGACTGATAGATTCTAATCCTAAACAGTTACTTCTAGTACCCCGGTGCTATATCGCCAAGGTGACCACCTCTGCTCTTTCGACGTATTTGCAGAGTTAGCAAACAATGTGAAATATATCAGTCTCTGGGATGGCATTCATAAAACATGTCCAAATCGACGAAATGTTTTTTCAAAGATAGTGACCAACAGAATTATCGCTTCACTGAAATCATGAACCCATGTTAGTTAGACCTCCATTAAAAACCTGGGGACACGATGTTCATCTCTCCTTAGCATAGGACCCCACAGTAGTGCGGATCTATATCCCCGCACACGGGAATCGAGCCCCGGGCTGCCCGCGAGCGCTCAACCTCTAAATTTAATTCACGATATTGTACGACCATCTTCCGTGGGTCGTTACCTCACAGTCGACATCGTTAAGCTCCACTGGTTTCGGCTTCTCACTAAATCGGAGGTTCTGGGTCCGGTCCATGCGTTTGATTTATTTACGGCAATAAATTTGTCTCATTTCCTTTTCCATTGTTCGAAAAATTCCTAGAAGTCACTAGAAATCGACTTTATCAGCTATCTCGCTGTTATCATCTTATCGTTCTAAATTCGATTAATCAATAATCATCCGGATAGTGAATTGTCAATCATAAAACACAGAAAACCATACGTTTTCGATATTTCCAACACAGGAGATGTTATACGTTTCCTGAAGGCTTCTCAAGTTTCAATAATCTTTAATATTGACCTATTATCCCAGTAGTTCACGTATTTATTAGACAAACCATATGTAATCAGTCAGACTCAATATTATTTAGATGTGGAAGTGAGTCTATGTACGAGATTAATCATTTTCATTTTTATAATAAATTTTTTCTGTCCTATAGGATTCTATAGAATCAACTAGAAACTACATAAATAGCACTATTAACCTATTCTTACCCAAGCACTATACTAGAAAGGAATTAAAAACACACTGTAAAGAAATATATATTTTTTAAAAGAAATGGTTTATTAATATTATCTAGTTGATTGAATCAAAAGTTTACAGATTGTAATCAGTTATAATGTAAATCTTTGATAATTCATTCTGATTTGTTAATAATAAAGGTAGTTTTAGACAAATTTCATCTTGATTAGGTGGCCATGATTTAATCCATTTAGCATTGATATAATTCATTTTATTGAATATTTCAATAGGTACAGTTGTTACTTGTAAATTAATTACTTTAGTAATTTTTAATAGACTACTTATATTGTTCTCTGTTTGATTATGAATACGATTTTTAGTATTTCTATGGATTATTAAACGAATAGAAGTGATAATTAATCCATTTTTAAATATTTCTTTGTCTCCTGGCTTTTGAATCTAAGGAATGATTATGACAGTAAGAATATATATGTAAGGGTATATATATGTGGGGGGGGGGAATATATTTTCATTTTATTACCAACTTTGTGTAGTTTTATTGTTAAAGTGTTAAGTGATAACAAGTACTAGGCAGTTAACTAGAACGAAAAATAGGTAGGAATTGTTTAAAAAACATTTTATTTCTTACAACAAGGCTTGATACTATTGAGATCACGAACTGACCTAAATTAGACAATCATTGAATACCTGAAAGCACTGAACAGCTGTTTCGTCTTCATATGGAACTCATCATGGTTAATACTGTTGAAAAAAATCTGTCCCTTAACATAAATAAGCGAAGGTAAATAGTTTAAAAGTGTGAATACATTATTTTGAAATAAGAATATCGGACTATTATAAGATGATTGATTCATATTTGCTATATAGTCATATTCTAACAATTTACTGTTTCACATACAAATATACTTTGTTGGGTATGATCGCGAATTTTCTTGAGAACAGTTACAACGTTTCTTTTACATCAAAGAATACTATCTTCTAATGCTAACAAGTGTAGAGCATATGAATATTTAACTGGTATTCTATCTCTACATGAATATGATATAGGTCATAGCGTATAAATCATTTTAATACATTAGATTCTGTAGTTAAGTCGCCATTTAATCATTTTGTTTCATTAGCTATTTGGATAGTTATGATAATTGGAAATAATTAAACAAATTAGTTTGTATGTGTCTAAACAGAAATCTATGCAATACAATGAATTCAGCTTATTCTGGAAATATTGTCGTAACTTAGTAGCTTGTTTATGATATTATGTCTTGAAATCAGTGACAATCGGTATGTGCACCCCAACTCCATGGATTAAGTTTTATAGTTTATGCTTTGATTTCAGATATGACTAGAAAGAGTATCGCAAATGAAATTCATTCAAGTTAATTTTTTTCTGGATTAATATCTGTATAATTGTGTTAAGGTATTTTGTGTGACTTTTCTTCTGATGCCCATGCAATAACTAATCTATTTTGAATAACAGCAATATAATATATGTGTAGTGGTTAAACACAAATAATAGTCTAGTTCAAAGAGTTTTGTGGAGATTGTTTTAATATGTAGGTTTTATCTGCCACAGATTAATCTCAAGTGCTGTATCACTGAAAACCAGAAATCACTGGGGAAGTGTTTTGTCCCATTATGTGACTCTTCAATAATGTATATCCACAACCCCACCAGGGATTAGACAAATGATAAATATAACCTGTAGTTCAAACCGATTTGCACAAGCCTAACTGAACTAAAATAGTTAGCTCACTGGTTACCTCACTTAAGACGCTTTTAAATTTCCATTGAGAAATAGTGACTGATGAATTTCAAATATATTATCGTGAGTGAAACAGTTATGATTAGTTTTATCAAATGATCGTTATGCTATAATTTAAACTGATTGAAGTTGAATTTGTACAAATGGAGATCGACCCAGTGACAAAGTATTTAGTATGAAACTTCTGAGTTCAATCCTTAATCTGGTTGTGAGTATACACTGTTTAAGAGTCTTGTGCTGAGAAGAAAAAACATACCTAGTCACCCTTATTTTTCAATGGTAACTCAACAGAAATTAATCTATAACGAATGCAACCTACAAATATTAATTTTTTAAAACTTACCACATTATGGTTTATAGACTATGTGTAATTAAACTCAATACCGTGAATGGAAAAACTATTCACTGCATATCATCTATCAACTTAAGATGATATTCTACTTATTCTATCAAAATGTAATTTCTTGAAACACTGTAATACGATGATCAATCTCTATGTTAGTTTCAGTCAATCAGTAACAACGTAGAACTTCGTACGTACGTACATCAGTTCGAGTTCCCATATCACATTAGCACAGAGATTCAATTATCGATTCAAATCCCATAGTGGTAGAGGTAGTAAGAGTATAAGCAGTAATCGGAAAGAATATGGTTTGAAGACGTTATTCAAGGAGTAGAATCCAGTGAAATAAATTTCGAAAGAGAAAAAAAGAAAGAGACAAGTAGAATTCAGAAGATTAGAATTTGAGAGAACACAAAGAGTGGATGCACCTCAGACATTGCAAACGATTTTCAGCCATGTCATTCAAGGTCTCTAACCATCAAGTGATATCATCTCGCGGTCCTCAACCAGGTAGTCTACACCTATCAACATGACTCAGTCCACTTGTCATTGACTTCATGGATTTCTGCCATGTTTTGGTCTGGCCGCTCCTAGATTTCTTCCAACCTACTCCTACACCACAAAACATCGCACGTCAAGGCAGTTGGTGGTTGGCATACGTAACACATGTCCCAGCCATCTCAACTGATGAAGTTTCACTACTTCCTCAATTGATTTGCCATTATTACCTAGTACCCGTGTCCTGACAACTGCATTACTTACTCGGTGGTCCCAGGATATACGAGCAATATTTCGAAGACATATATGATCGAATACTAGTAACTTACGAATATACTCTACTCTTACTGGCCATGTTTCACTGCCATAAAGTAGGACGGAATGAACTGCTGCGCAGTATTCACTTTCTTTGTTTGGTAGACGGATATCTCGCCTACGCCACAAATGACGCCAGTTGGCAAAAGCTAGTCGAGCCTTCTGCATCCGTACTGAGATTTCGTGACACACCAGACCACAAGGGCTGATGAGACTTCTAAAATAAGTGAATCGGTCGACAGGCTCAACTACTTCACACCCTATCACTAGTTCGGGTGTCGACGCAACCAAATCCTGAAGCAACATTTTGCATTTCGAGGGAGAAAATCGCATGCCGAACATGCCTGTATGTTAGTTTACTCTTTTAAGGAATGTTGTTAACCCTAATCTTAATAAAAAAAATAGTTACCATAACTTATTACTTTTCTCATAACTTACAGTAGATATTATGTGATACTGTTCCATTGAACTACTTGATGTAGAAGAAATAATCCAATCAAATAATGATTTAGGATTAATAATAATTGAAGCAGGTAATGTGATACCAATTAATTTTTCTATATCCCATGAATTTATTAATTTATGAAAGTGTTTTAAAATTAATAATTGATGTTTTAACCATGTAAATAATTTATAATTGTTTGATGGGTATTTCTTTGTATAATTATGATAATCTTTTATAGATCGTAAATATGCGTAATACTGAGTTGTCAACATAAATATAGGTGAAGTATTTTTAATGGACAATGGTGATGATGATGATGATGGTGGTGGTGGTGGTGATGGCGATGAGGATGAGGATGATGATGATGGTGATAAATAACGTGATTTCAATTCTTCGAAGATTGTTTCAAGTATCCTAGCACCGATATAAATAAAAGTAACAAACAATATAAGATTAATTCATTTTTTTTATTTTAAAAATGTATGTACAATTCATCAATTTACGTACTATTGATTTACAATTCTAGGATATAAAAATACACTTATCTTACTGTAATAAACGAAGACTTAGGTGGGGATAATCAATTGTAACTTAATATAGAATTACAAAGTTCTATTGATAAAATCTGAAAACCATACATTCAATCATTCATTTACAAATCTTCCATCAACTATCTCAAACTTCATCGTTCCTTCATTGTCACAACAATTACTCTCTGTTCCCATTCTCTTCGATTCGATCTTCTCAACCTTGTGCTACCACACATTCCATTTCTGACTACTGTTATATACTACTTATGTCAACATAAGTAGCATACACCATACTCCTATTAACTATTTGATTAATTTTTGTAAATCAAGATAGTATTATTGGTACTATCTCATAAAAAAAATTTGTGATTAGTAATTTTAATGAATATCAACTAACTGGATTATTCAATTTTTGTGTACCTAAATAAATGGCTGCTCTGGTTGTCAGAAGGGGCATCGGCCTCGTGACTTCCGAAGAAACTCGGCTTTCATCATGAGGCGTCATAATTCTTCTAAACGAAGACCTCCTGATTCCCAGGGCAGAGTTTAAATGGTTTGAATAATTTTTTCTGGTTAGCGTTTTTTTATCCGGCCTTTGGACCGGCAGTAGCCCCCCGAAAGGGACTCCAGGCGGATTATTCAATATAAAAGTCAAACAAGATTGCTTGGTAATATGCATAAAGTTTAATCACCATAGTAAATGAGTTTTCAATAAAGCATCTACAAATTTTCAAGAATCTATAACATTATATTCAGTCAATTAAGTAAAAGAATGATTTCATTGAAATGATTGCACATCCCTATCAAGGATTTTATAGTTTTGTATAAATATGGCTATACAAAATATGACCTCCTCTGAAAGTCTTGAACATCACCATCTTATCATGTAAATAATACAAAAAAATATAGTTTAAATGTGCTCGAAAACAACTACCATGCAATATATTCTAATTTCAGTAGTATGTTACATTTCTTTTGTTTAACTAATACAATATTGTTTCACCTTTTCGAATTTACTTTAACCATTACACTATGTCAGTTAATTGTGTTATTTACTCACGAGTTTTCACTTTAGAAAAATTTTAAATCTATCATCAAGCTAAATGTTAAAGTGTGTTGATAATATCATCTCTCTGAATGAGAGACTGATTTGAATCTTATAAATGAGCATAACCTCCTTGAAGATTATAGTTACACTTTTAGTGATGTAGTGAAAATTCAGGGCTTCTTGCTAAATGCCTTAAATTACCTAACATTTAGCTACAATATAAAGAAACCTAGTGTAATATACTATTAATTCAGGTATATACTACTATTTTTCGCCATGGATATTTTGTTAAAAGTGTTTACTAAGCAATTATTACTCTGTAGATATTATTTCAATAGCAAGCAATAATAATTTTTTATATAAACTTATGCATAGTTCACACTGTCCTTGATATAAACTACAAAATTCAGCAATCTTTACAAAATCTCCTTTATTAGTAATAATCACGTCGTTACTAATGGCCAACTTTCAGAGACGACTGCCGAATTTCGATGAACAGCTTGTAACTAGTAAAGTTCAGCCATGCCAACTTTGAGAAAGACATCGTCAAGCCAAACGGATAATGGTTTCACAACATCATGTATTAATTGGAGATATAAATCATTGGATGTCAATTCAACGATCTGAAAGTTAAGCACAAGCCGTGAGACCCGAACGAAGGTCCTACATATGACCCCTGTTTGGACGATGGTTGATCATTGTTAATGAATCCTGTACTAGGATGAAATAACTTTATTTAACTAATCCTTTTTACTTTTCAATAACTATCCAGTTAAAGTTAGTCCGTTATGTAAACTAAAATTCTTCTATCATGATAATGAAAGAATTATACTAATTTTAAAGGTTTAAAATAATTCCCAACATATAGTAACACAGAATAAGCTCCTAACAATTGTTTTTCATATTACTCACTTTAATTCTTTCTCAATCGTAGCCCAAATTGTATCAATCGATTGTTTTCGTTTATCCATATCTTGTTTGTTGTATATACATTCGTAAAGTTTGCTGACAAAACAAGAAACATAAAACAGACATTATTGTTACACGATTATATAGATACAGAGTGATCAAGCGGTTACAACCCATATTTTTATTGTATAGTCAGTGGTGTTGTTTGAATTATATATCTCATCTATCGCGACAAAGGCTCAATGTGGTAATTAATCCAAATGACTCAAACTAACTTGTGATTATTTTCGTATTAAATGGTTTGTAATAACGAGAGATAGTTCCTATTAATCAAGATTAACTACGTGGGTCTATCTACAAGACTGACACTTTTGATGATGGGTACATGGTGATGTAAGTTTAAAGGGGGCCCTGGCACGGCCGAGAGCGGGGGAGAGTCTGCTTATCCTCTCGAAATGCTCTCACATAACCACGTGTATATAGCCACTGTCAAGGAAGTCCTACTCACTGCCTTCTCGTGGCGGGAGTGTTGTTCACAAAATTGAGAGGACGAAAAGCGAATGTCCGGCGCTTTAACCGGGTTGGTGGACATGGTGCACATGGGCTCCAGTACCCTGAGGGAACAAATGGCGTATGAAGCAATCGTTGGTCACCGTCTACCATGGGACTGCATCTCCTGACGTTGGTCCATTGCCTTGTGAATCAGACCTTCAGGTCGAAGGCTACGGGTGTGGCCCCCCAAGAAAGCCACCTGCTTCGGTTTGGGCACGCTGGCAGTATCACAGTCCTCACACAAATCAAGTGAGATTTGTGTGGCGCATATGTATTTGATGCCTCCTTGTGCCAATATCTATGTGTTCAAATAATAATAATAATAAGTTTAAAGGAATATCACTTTCACTTGGATTAGCATGAAATTTAAGTCTCAGATATCTTGTCGGTTGACTCCGATTATCCAATATGTATAGGAAATTATGACTTAATTTTGAAGAAAATCACAGTATTTGCTTAATTTTTAACAGAGGTTTTATGTCACTAGACGACAATATTTAACTCAATGAAAGAAAAGAATCTTATATATTCGTTTGAGAAATTCATTGTGTATATCAATCGTCATTGGGATGGGCAATTAGAAATTAAACAAATTAGGATAAATCAAAATGAATTTCAGTTTAATCAAATAGAATGTATCGAAAAACAAGCAAGACGCTTATTAATTTTTGTAAAAACCACGTTATAAAATAATGCTAAGCATTTTAAGTAGTTTTTATGAGTAGTAGTTTAAGTATTCAAGAGGCGAAACCCGAATCACACGTCCGTGTTGTGCCTCCTGGATAGTGGGACGAATGACTCATGAACTAACGTGAGCGGTAACCCGGGTGGTGGAGATCGGGCTAATCACCCACTCTTACCGATACCCACCAATCGATTACGAAATCCACGGAGAAACGCAGCACAATTACATTTGGGTTCGAAAACGACAAAAAATTTACAAAAGTGGTGCATGTAACATATGGAGTTGCTCGTCATTGGGCAAACTCTACAGGATTGCAGAAATAACTATTCTAGCCCCGGTAGTTGTGCCGTGCTTTGATGTGGCCTGTTTCTCTCCAGAAGAGCCTAATAGGCTTCACCGACTTGTTTGGCTGGAAGGAGGGGACAGTCTAAGTATTCAAATAATTTTCGTTCTCAAGGTGTTTGAAATGAAGAGTATGTATCTGATAGGAAATATAATTTGATAGTTGACTTTTTAAAAAGACAAACACAGATGTATACCATTTGATTCAGTGATATTTTCGTACAGTTATGATGATCTATACAGATTTAAGATGTAAATATTTGCACCAATACAGATATAAGATTAATTGATGATTTACATCTTTGATTTCATATGTCCATTTCAATGCCATACATATAAACAGTAGAAGTAATGTATAAGAAGTTAAAAAATAACCTATTATAGTATTTTCCAAATTCTGATGACTTGAATCCAGCCATAAAAAGATAAATTAACCTTGGGAGAATAAGCCATTTATAGAGATTTTAATTTGTTAAGAACTTTTCACAGTTATCATTGATCTATGCACTGATTATTAGATCTTTGCAAAATTAGACAAAGAAAAGTATTGAGATGGTGATATTTAAATACATATTTCTCATCTTGTATGCGTGAAATATACTGATATCATTTGAAATTTTGTAAAGATAAACAGAAGACATGGGGAATGTCTTAGATTATGAATGACTCGAAACTTCTGATTCTTCATAAATTTTATCAGATTTTTCAAATTGGGTGATGTATTTAAGATGAAAAGAGCTTAACTAAAAATAAATTACGATCAATGGTTTTTGAGATGTGAAATAAGCTATGAAACCTGACTGTCATATAGTTACCAGCTCCGTCTCAACTACCGAATATTGTTTACGATTATCATGTAAAAGATGAGCATGGAATCGTAATTAACTTGTCTTACAACTCATTAATTCTGGTTACAGAAATCTGGACTCTGATCTACAGATTTTATCAACGAAAATTCCGATAATGATCGAGAGATCATAGTCAACGACATTTTATATACGAATTAAACTGATGGCTGCTATAGAAATCACTGCCAACAAAGAATCGAACATAGATGGTTTGGAAACTTTTTAATGATTCGTTCAATTGAAAATTAGATTTCTTCATGAGTTGATATGAAATAGAGAGCTACTGAAAACCAGGGAATTGAACTACTCCTTTGTTCTAGTATAAAACATCTTAACAGTGCATATATAAAACCCCCTAGAAATTGAACACACAACATTCAGATATTGTTATCTTTAAACGCTTGATAAGGAACGTACTATTCAAAATTTTCAGCTTTTGAGAGCTACATAATACAATACAAATCTGTTCAGTACGAATGATCGGTAACTGCTCTAATACCGACATGGTTGAATGTGTGATGTTTCATTAAGACCTAGAGAACTCATCTCGAAACCAGTCACCTGTGAGCATATGATGAATGTTAAGAAGGGAAGTTAATATAGAACACTTTAAATTTGATTTTGTTTCTCATTACAGGATGGTATAAAATGTATGAATGCTTCTTTTAAATATCTCATGTAAACATATTGCATGAGAAATCTTCAAAATATGAACACATTGGTCTTCTTGGAAATATGAAAACATTTTAGTAACTTACTCAGATTCAGTTTTCTCATATAATCCATCAGACTCTTCTATCCACAACTGTGAATTTTCTTCGTTTGTAGATTCATTGACATTTTCCGGTGAATAACAAATCGGCTTTTCTTTTTTATTTACCAATGAGGTCTGAGTTGTAAAATAGTAAAACCAATTATATATAAATAACAATACTACTATTAATGGTCTTGTAGGTGTCATTATTACAGTTTGGCTTGATAATTTCAAATGATCAGTATAGGGGTTGTGGAAATTATTAAGTTTTTGCTTGAGATCATGAACCGATTGATGTTAGACCACCGTTGGAAACATGGAAGCACTGGACGGCCGTTTCGTCTTATTTTAGGACTCCTAAGCAGTGCGCATCCGGCTCAATGGTCCATCAGGTTAAGCGTTCGCGCGCAAGACCGATAGATTATGGGTTCAAATCTCGAGGGCGGGAACGTGGATACGCATTGCTGAGGAATCCCAGAATAGGACGAAACGACTGTCCAGTGCTTCTAGGCTTCCAATGGTGGTCTAACATCAATCAGTTCATGATCTCAATAAAAAAATTTCAAATAAGCTGAGGATTAGGTAGCTTGTTATGAATAAGTAATATATATATATATATATATATATATATATATATATATATATATATATATATATATATATATATATATATATATATATATATATATATAGTATCCCAATGAGTAGAGAAATTGAGCTTTTAAATTTTCTGACGTGACATACATTGAGTTATGAAACGTCAGAAAAATTACAAAAATTTTCTACTCATTGGGATATTACAAATATTTAACTTATGAATACTACTATAACATATTTGAGTAGTATAAACTTAAACAAAATAGCACAATAACGTTAACGGACGATAATTTTGGCTTCACGAATGTTATGATAAGCGAGATGGTCGCGCAATATTTTGAATTGCAAAAGGACAAAAATGTACACCATTTGGTTCCGACTCAGCTCTCTGGAGAATAGGTGTTCCCGCGCGAGATCTGTAGGTGTTGGTTTCGATTACCGTGGTAGGGACGAAAATGGGCACTGCTGAAGAGTCTCATAGTGAAAAAACATTGCCATTCGGTGGTTTTAAGTTGCCAATGGTGTTATAACTTACATCAGTCAGTGATCTCAAAAATATGAGGAATATCAAAATCTAAGATAGGTAATTCATTGACACATTACAACTTAACTAAAGCACATGGAAATCTAGACATTGTTCTTCCCTCAGCTATCATTGTGACATCATTTGAAATATTTAAGGATCTGATTTAAGTAGCCAAATTTTCAGTTTCATTCTCATCAGGACACTATGATGGACATGTATGACATATTCTGTTCTCTCCTAACCTTACTCTATCTTAAATTGTCACTGTATTATTTATTAATTTAAATCGTCTATTCATTTTGTGTAATAGTATTTACATTTTCTCAAAGTAGTATATATACTGTAAAAGCTCATCTTTGTTCTCTTATTAGGTACACCATTACGTGAAATTAGGATTTTTCATTTAGTTTTTCTCTCGTCGAGCACTCAATAGTTGTAGTAGGCTAATATTCTATCTTTACATTATTCATTATGCAGCAATATAGGGGATTTGTTGTGGTATCACCATGTCATGTCGCCAATACATTTAGTCATAAGTGCGGTCCCGATGAAGTACTTTAATGAATCTTTTTATGAGACCAATTAACTTATAAACTTTTCGTACTTATAGTGCTAATATACCTTACATATTTGTATAGTAGTCTACTTAAATTTATATATTAAAAGTTTAGTTATTCTATTTCGAAGCTAATTACTAGTATATCTGAAAATGTGGAAATATTCCACAAGTAATTTTAATTCCAAACTGAAACTACTGAAAACCAAAGAGCAATGGACAGTTTGAGTAGTAAACCATAACCTGTAGAGCTAATCAACTCTATAGTCAAACAGAAATACACTGATATCACTAAATATAAGATTGGTTTTAAGATAGCTGAACACTGAGTACCGATTAAGTAGATGGATAAGATCACGCTCGTCCAGAAAGATTGATGCTTTTATCTTTTAATATATGTGCGGTTATAAGTACACATAACCGAACACAGTAATTTTCCAACTGATTTGGGTTGATGATGATAATAAGCTTTAAACACTATACAAAACTACCATACTAAAATACTAACTACCCAATTCTAAAATTACATCAGTTACTGATGTTCTTACCAATTTCCACGAACTCGTAGTAAATAATGACTGATCATTCTCATATTGGAATAACAACGGTAGACATTTTAATCTTAACCAACCTAGGCAAAAATAAACAAAACGATAATTTATTACTTTAAAAGAAGATGGATAGGGTTTTTCTGTCTCTCAAAAACCTACATAATTTAAAAAAACAACTATGGTTGATGGTTGTTATATCCTAGAGAAGATTGAATAATTTTTCCAACATCTGGGGTGAAGCACAGGATACAGTGGACAGCTAGGATGCAGCTGGACGATCTAAACTTCGCAGATGATCGGGCTCTTCTATCGCATACGCAATAACAAATGCAGGAGAAGACGACCAGTGTAGCAGCACCCTCAGCAGCAGTAGGTACCAACATACACAAAGGGAAAAGCAACATTCTCCGATACAACACAGCATGCAACAATCCAATCACAATTGACAGAGAAGATTTGGGAACTGTAAAAACATTTACATATCTGGGCAGCATCGTTGATGAACACAGTGGATCTGATACAGATATGAAGGCGTGGATAAGCAAAGCAAGAGTAGCATATTTACAATTGAAGAACATCTAGAACTCAAAACAATTGTCAGCTAACACCAAGGTCAGGATTTTCAATACAAATGTCAAGGCAGTTCTACCATATGGAGCGGAAACCTGGAGAAGTACGAAAGCCATCATCCAGAAGATACATGTGTTTATTAACAGTTGTCTACGCAAAATACTTCGGATCCATTCGCCGGACACTATCAGAAACAACCTACTGTGGGAGAGAGCAAATCACAATCCAGCGGAGGAAAAAATCAGGAAGGAGCACTGGAAGCGGATAGGACACACATTGAGGAAAGCACCCAACTGCGTCACAAGGCATGCCATCACATGGAATCCTCAAGGTCGAATGAGGAGAGGAAAACCAAAGAACACATTATGCCGGGAAATGGAGACAGACATGAGAAGAATGAACAACAATTGGATCTAACTAGAAAGGAAGGCGTAGGACAGAGTGGGATAGAGAATGCTGGTCGGCAGCCCATGCTCCATTGGGAGTAACAGGCGTAAGTAAGTAAGTGAAGATTAAATGACGAGTAACTTGTGAGACCTATTAATGGACTAATATTATATACATATTCTTATGGTATAACTATTCAGTAATTAAATTATGTATATCTATATTCCCCTCATTATAGGCCCCCTTTTGACCGACAGATTATTATTGTACGATTTGCTGTTCTTAATTTATGTTCAGTTTATTGATTACGGTCTCCCACGTTCACAGTCACTGTTAGCAACTAAACTAGAGAGACATAGAAAAAGAACTATTAAGTACTAAACAGATATAAGGGAAACTGTTGACCGACTGAAACTTTCAGGCCACAGTTTTTTTCCAAAAATATATTCACTGTCATACAATTCCCTGTTTTAAACATTTTAATCTGCTAATTATTGTCTTTGATATAATGGTCGAATGGAAATAATATCTCGTTTCGACGATAATATTATTAAAATACGATAATCCAACCAGTGATAGATTTTGCTACTAAAAAATAGGATACTCGACTAATAGTCTATATACAGACTGGATCCCATTAAACCAGATACAAGATTCGTGACCAAATATAGAGAACCAGAATATACACTAGCCAATATTTAGTGAAATCAATAGTGGGAAAGGAACTCATATATTTGTCCACGTTCAGTAGACAATGAAATTTATTTCCACTAGCCAAACATCGGCCTTTTAATCTATAAATTAAAGTGCTTTCATTAAAAACTTTGCAACTTATTTTTAAATAATTCAGTAGATTACTTCACCATAATGGTTTATATATTTCCATTTTTACCTGTCCATTGGAGAATCAGGTAAGATAATCTATAGAATTCATATATTCAATATATTAGGCAATGAAAATAACTGTCCTGAGAGCAAGGTTGGTCGTAATCCATGGCAGCTAACTACTGTTAAATTACTTTTTACTCACACTTTCAACCTTAACCTGGATCGAAACTAGAATTATCACATCTTTAAATAATTATGATTATTTCAGATCATTAAATCACAACCCTATACCGTATATTTTCAAAATTCAATTCATTAAAATGAAAACGTCACTATCATCGGTGATATTGATTTCACTCTTGTTATCATTTTAATATGATAATGATAGATTCTTACTAGAACTCACTTCAAAATTGAACAATATCCACATACTTTAATTTTCCAATTTCAATAATTAAATATTATAAATTATAACTTACCCGGTAATCTATTATACACGGATACTATTTGTTTTCCAGATGTACAACATGTGAAATCAATTATAATATCAAAACATATTCCAAGTTTATTGATTAATATAGGCTTTTCTTGATTTCGTAAATTATGAATTTGTTTATATCTTAAATTATAAAGACCATATTGTAATAATTCATTTAATAGTATAGTCATTCTCTTGTGAATGATGTGTACATTTTGAAGAACAATTAAAATTCTTTGATATGGAAGTATATTTGTATTGGATCCTGAATAAATAAAGAAAAATTATATTCAATAAAAATATATTTAAATGTTTGTGTCAATATTTCATTGCTCAATATTAAACCTTTAAAGAAGCAGTAAAATTTAAATAATCCACGTGGAGCCCCTTTGGAGCTTTGGCTGGTCCCAAGCCCGAATAAAGGATGGGGGTTAGACATGTGTTTAACAACTCCATTTCATAGAAAACTAACTCACTAAAAAAACGCTAACCAGAAAATATAATAATTCAAAATTTAAATATGAGTAGGAAGTGAATAAAAACAAAATAAATGCAACAGTAATCTCAAATGACTTATTTAGTCTATTTTTAGCATACTTTGGTACACTTCCCGTCTAACTCGAGTAGGTCCCCAATCATTCGACATAGATCATCTACGCTGGTGATCTACAATATCCCACTCTCAACATTCATTATCTTTTCAATCTATAACAGCCAGCCTACTAACTTGCGTTTAATTTCTTAATTATTATATTACTTACCACATACTGATAACCAGTAGGAGATATCAGTAGTATTTGCACAGTCTATAGAAAATAAAGTTCTATTTGAATACATCGCCATCTTATTCAATGTATTTATTAATCCATTTGAAACAACTACTTTTCCAGATTTATCATTAACAAGAAGATCCTTATGTTTAAATTCATTCAGTTCGCTTGGAAGGATTACTGTGGGAAAAAATGTACAAAAACTTATATATACAAGTGTAATGTAAGAAAAGAACTGAACTATTAAAGTATATCATCACCAAACAACATAGTTCGATATTTACCATATCTATCAAAATTCTTTATCAAAAGTAACAAAATACAGTTTGGCAAAACAAATCTCGTTTCATTTGTTAAAATATTGAATTTATTTTTAGCCTTGGCTATGTCACAAATAATTAATTCGTTAACTCTCTTTATGTATCCATTTAAACAATCGATATTAAGTGACTGTCACTCTGTTTTATCAGTGACATCTATTACTATTAGAATTGATGAGTTCCAACCATTATGACCAACCAGGTTAAATCAAACAATACTATCAAATCAGTTAGTGTTGTGATTCGAAATTGGGGTCATAAAGCGTTAATCGTTGATAGATTATAGTTTTAATAAGAACACTACTATTGAATGTCTTTAAAATGTTGGATTATTTCAAAGAATAGTATTTTTGTAATGTGACAAAGAAATGACATTGAACAAGTGTAGTGAGATGTATAATGGATCAGTTTTTCGATGCTACATTACCAGAACAGAAATCTATCAAGTTATTTCTGAGACAAGTGATAGTGTTTGTAATACAGTGAGTTAGAAGTACTTTTTTAACCAGTGTTATAGACCCAAAAAATGTTAGCCAAGTTTTAACAATGCCACAGAATTAGTAGTATCAAAACATATCTAGTGTGTCATTGTTTCATTTGTTTTTATTGATCAATGGTATTGGAAGTTTTGTTGAAATAATTAGGAACGCTGCTAAGAAAACGAAAATACAACAACGAAAGAAACTTCAAGTAGACTGGGTGAGTAACTTTTTAATCTAATTGCATCATATTCTCTGGATTTACGATAGAAATATTCAGAAATGATATTTGAAGAAAGTGAAGTATCAGAAGGTGTAAAGCTTATCACCTAGAATTAAAAATTATTTCCAATCAAGCACAATGGTCCACCGCTCGTCAGTAAGGTGCACCTGTTATTTGAGGGAACTGGTGCTCCCTGACGGATTCGACCCCGTGTCACTCAGCTTCACAGTCAGAGACGTTACCACTGAGCTATCCGGGCCGCGACTGACCTCCTGTAGGACTGAGATGTAATCACAATTGATTGATCACTGGGTGGTGATCAATCAATTGTGATTACAATAGTCTAGCTTATGGGTGTTTCTCCACTTTTACTTTTCAGGCTTTACATTTCAAATAATTCTTCCATAGAGGTTTATTTCTTGACTGATTGTAAACTAACTTAACTAACCACGATCATTTTAGATCACTACTGATCGGCGGCATGGCCAAATGCAACCGCAGTTCCATTAATCGCTGGTTCACTTTGCTTCTACAGTTGGTATCAATGCTTTATCGAAATTAGGTCGTAGTTATTTATTCCATTTTAAAAATAATGAATAAACTTGTAGCAGACAATAATAAATACAAAAAATATTTAACTCACAATAAATAACTGAAGATGAGAAGTCATTTACATTTGAATAAAACCCTTTCACTCTTTTCATAATTTGTGGTTGAAACAATTCATCGATACGTAAACGCTTTTCAGCTTCAAATGATCTACTAGGATATTCTTTATTATTATTTACTGTAATGTGTTGAGCCAATATATGATTTACAAAAACTTTTGAAATGACGTGGAACTAGTGTTAAATAAATGTAGGATTTAAGTAGAAGAATAACACCATTAGCAAATATATTAAAATTCTACATAAAAGGCACACATGAAATACCATACAGATGAATTTTGATCGAAATAACAATCAATTCACCGATATGGTGCATAAAACTGAAACTTGATTGTTAGGTCAAAATTTCACTCGGGGGAGAGGAGAGTGAGGGACCGGTCAAACGACTTTGTTGTGGTATGGTGATATTATCGACGAAGTTATCGAAATATACATCTCAGCTACCCTCATACATAATTATCAACCTAACTAGAGAGAAGAACGGAACAAAAAATAAGTCAACTATGAAAATGAATTTTCGAATATGCACATTTCGAACACTAATTGATCTGGACAGACAACCAAAGGAACGAAATGAAGAAAACGAAGAGGAGAGAGAGAAGCGAAGAATGTCGTTGGAGAAATAGAAAACGGAGTAACGCGGAGAAGGCGAGAGAGACAGCGTGATTCAATATTTACAGACATACAAAATAGGGTACCCAGTCAGTCAGTAACAACGTGGAACTTCGTACGTACGTACATCAGTTCGAGTTGCCACACCACATTAGCACAGAGATTCAATTATCGATTCAAATCCCATAGTGGTAGAGGTACTGAAAGTATAAGTAGAGATAAGGGACATTAAGGTTTGATGATGTTATTAAAGGAGTATAGTCCAGTGGAATATATTTGGAAAGAAAATAAAGGACATGAAGAATTCAGAAGATTAGAGTTTGAGAGAACACAAAGAGTGGATGCACCTGCGCCATTGCAAACGATTTTGAGCCATGTCATTCAAGGTCTCTAACCATCAAGTGATATCATCTCGCGGTCCTCAACCAGATAGTCTACACCTACCAACATGATTCAGTCCACTTGTCAGTGACTTCATGGATTTCTGCCATGTTTTGTTCTGGTCGCCCCTAGCTTTCTTCCAACCTACTCCTACACCATAAAACATAGCACGTCGGGGCAGTCGGTGGTCGGGCATGCGTAACACATGTCCCAGCCATCTCAACTGATGAAGTTTCACTACTTCCTCAATTGATTTGCCATCCTTACCCAGTACCCGTTTCATAACAACTGCATTACTTACTTGGTGGTCTCAGGATATAAGAGCGATGTTTCGAAGACATCTATGGTCAAATACTAGTAACTTACGAATATCCTCTACTCTTACTGGCCATGTTTCACTGCCATAAAGTAGGACGGAATGAACTGCTGCGCAGTAAACACGTCCTTTGGTTGATAGACGGATATCTCGCCTACGCCACAAATGACGCCAGTTGGCAAAAGCTAGTCGAGCCTTTTGTATCCGTACTGAGATTTCGTGACACACCAAACCACAAGGGCTGATGAGACTTCCAAGATAAGTGAATCGGTCGACAGGCTCAACTACTTCACACCCTATCACTAGTTCGGGTGTCGACGCAACCCAATCCTGAAGCAACATTTTGCATTTCGAGGGAGAAAATCGCATGCCGAACATGTCTGCATTGATGCTTAGAGTGGCCAGCAGACTCTGCATTCTGTCAGCGTCTTCACTAAATAGAACTATGTCATCGGCATATTCTAAGTCAACAAGTGGATCTCCCGGTAGAAGTTCAACTCCTGGAAATTTAGATGAGGAAAGTGTCATCTCTAAAAGGACGTCAACAACAAAGTTAAACAAGAATGGAGAGAGTGGACAGCCCTGACGAACACCACTTGAGGTAATCAATTTTGATGACAGTTCACCATAAGCTCTCACTCGACCAGTTGTGTTCGAGTAGAGAGCCTTTATAAGGTTGACGTACTTCTTTGGTACTCCCTTCAGTGACAAACATTGCCATAGAACCTTACGATCAACAGAGTCAAATGCCGCCTTAAGGTCAAGAAATACTACCATTGTGGGGCGTCTGAATGTGTGTCTATGTTCTAGGACCTGACGTAATGTGAATATTTGATCAATACAACCACGTCCAGGTCGAAAACCAGCCTGGTTTTCTCTAGTCTGCTCTTCACGAGCTTTGGTTAGACGTCGAAGTATTATTGAAGCTAATATTTTAGACACTATATTAGTCAAACTAATTCCTCTGTGATTGTCACAGGAGGACTTTTGTCCTTTCTTATAGACTGGCACAATCAGTGATTGAGACCAGTCAGATGGGATTACGTCCAGTTCCCAGATTCTACCTAAGACCTCAGTCAATCTCGCTGCTAATACTGGACCGCCATCCTTAAAAATCTCAGTGGTAAACCTGTCAGGGCCTGCTGCTCTCCCACACTTCAGATTTCCTATAGCTTTTTCAACTTCGTAAAGAGTCGGAGGACTTACATCAATTTGCCATTCAGGTCGACTGGGGATCGTGAGAAACCGAAGTGTGGCTGAAGGCCAGTTGAACTGATCCCTAAAGTATTCTGCCCATCGATCCAATCTCCTGGATTGAGAATGAATAATATGTCCATCTTTCTCTGCGATTGTTTCGCTAACAGTTGGGTTCCTAATACCGGTTTCCTTAACAAGTCTGAACAGTTGCCTACTGCTACCTATTGCCGCTGCCTTTTCCATCTCTCTTGCTTTCGCTACCCACCACTGTTCACGATCTTTGCGTAGGCTTCTAGTCAGCTTACGCTTAAGCTGACTCCGCTCTTCGTTATGTTCAGAGCCAGATGGAATGAGTTTTCGAGCATCTATCAGTGCGGTAGATGCTGCTGAGATCCAGTGTTTCTCCCTAACCTTATGGTTTACCGTACTTGCAGACATCACTGCTGTTTCTACAGCTTTTCGGATGTCATTCCACGCTGCCTCGGGGTGGGTATCACTTACATGGCTGTCTAACTGTTTTTCTAGATGTTCCTGAAATATACTCTTAGTTTGACTATCATTAAGTAGGACCCTAAAGGGTTTCCTTGCAGCATGTTTCCTACGTCCAGCAAGACGTGGACAAATACGCGCTCGCACCAGAGCATGATCTGAGTCTAAGCATGTGCTCCAGAATGAGCGACAGTCTTCTATCGAGCCCCTCCATCGGTGGCTGATAGCGATGTGATCTATTTGGGTCCAGCGTTGAGACGAATTAGGGGGTCGCCATGTTAAAAGATGTTTTTCCTTATGCTTAAAGTTAGTGTTTGCAAGAAACAGGCGGTTATCTGAGCATAGCTGCAACAGACGGTCGCCATTATCTGTTCTTTGAACCGCGACACCATAAGATCCACCCAGGTGTCTTTCCTTTTCGCTTAGTTTACCTACTTGAGCATTAAAGTCACCAGCCACTATTACTACATCTGAACACACAGCTTTTCGGAGAAGGTCGGAAAGCTTTCTGTAAAACTCATCTTTTACATCATCTGAGCTGCAGTCAGTGGGAGAGTAGGCAGAGACGACGAAGAGGCAACGACGAGTGTCCCTATCTTTTCGAGTCCTTACTGTTCCGTTTAGTCGGACAGCACACAAACGACTGTCTACTGGGATCCAGCCTACGAGAGCTAGTTCTGCCCTAGGACTCAATGCTATACCTACGCCAGCGAGGCCACGGGAAGCAGCATCAGGGCTTCCAGATACACGAAGCGTAAATCCAGTTGGTTCGTTACTTTGACATGGTGCGGTCAAATGAATGACACTACTAGGATCCTGTGTGCGCGTTTCGGAGACGCAGCACACATCAATGGAGCGAGACTCTAAAGTCTTAGCTAAGGAAGCCTGTTTTCCTATCTGGCACAGTGTTCGGACGTTGAAAGCTCCTACGTGTAGTTTGGAGCGTGGTTTAAGGAGACCAGGAATAACATTCCGCGTACTCGAATCGTTCGCACTAGCGGGGCGAGGTGATAAAGGGACGTGAGAAGGGTTAGTCGTAGAGATAAGAGAGTTATTAGGAGGTGTAGGAAGGATTTGAATGTGACCAACTTGGTCTCGTGTGCTGTTACAGGTATGAGGGCTGATGTCACTTCCCGGCTGCCCACACCGTGGAAGGGTATTTCTTGAGGAACCTGAAAAGAAAATCGGATTAGTGTTGGTCTTAACGACCTGGGTGCGTGACTTCAGAGCCCAAGGGACAACTGCTTGAGGCCGGTCGCGCACGGCCTTTTTGTGGGAGGTTTTTAATGTGTTAGCTCCGTTCTTCAAAGGGCCTTACCGCCGGAGACGGAAATCCGTGGGGTAAGGTGAGGTGTGACATTTCTAGGGTCAACCTTTTCTAACCCCTTCCTTCCTTGTGAGAAGGCAGCATCGCTGCAGATGCTGGTTGTCCGAGGGAAACACCTTACTGCTGTCACAATTCTGTACAGTCTGCAGTACGACTTCGCCCTCAGATTCAATATTTACAGACATACAAAATAGGGTACTAACACGTGATGGATAGGGTGAGTTATTGGCAAACATACGGTCGTATAAAAACAGTCAAGGTTGATAAGCGAACAATGAACAAGGTCAAAGTGTAACTCAAGAAGGATAAATAAATTGGTCTGTCCGGAAGCTTGAATAACCCATGTGGGCTTGACATAGTACCAGCCACTACAACCTACACAACTTGTTTATTTTTTCGATAATATTCAATCTCGTTTATTTGTGTGCAAGCATGTCATTATTGTTAAGATTATATCGCTCTACAGTGTCAATAATTAAATTTCGTGGGCAGTCATCATACAGATAACATATTTATTCATCGACTACACTTACAAAAAGCTTTTGGTATAATACCTAAGCCAGCTTATTCCAGATAGCATAGGACAACTATTGAATTATTTTAACAATCCTAATAACTCGATTCTCATAATAATCAACAATGGACTTCAGCAAATAATTACAGTGTCTTATATGTGCTTATGCGTCTATTATCCTTATTTATTTTATACACTGTCTATCACCTTGTTCACAGTATTCACTGCATATTTTAAATTATACTGACACTTGCAACGAGTTATGTTTTGAGTAGGCAGGTTTCGCCTTAGCTGATTTGAGTCGCTTATTATGTCTTTAGATTTACGATAATAGATCTTAGATTTTGGTGGGAAATTCACTCATCCATTTGGCTAAATAGAGTCTTGGCATTATAGTTGATGTCAGTTCGTGATGAAAACCTTATATATAATTCCTAATCCTAACTATCAACCGTAAATCATAATTCTAATTCCTCACACAGGTATATAACCCTCATTTAGCCCTAGTGAGTAGGTAGACACTCTCGAGGTCATTCTAGCCTCGCTAAAAGGTTGTCCATAAATTATAGTATCAACCACAAAAGTTAAGGGCATTTATAGGAATACGTGAGATCTTAAAACATCTGAAAAACATTTTAAAACTGGTCCTCTAGAATAATCTTCAACATTTAAAAAAGCGCTGATCAGTCGAAGTATTTTTATCATATTGCCAGCTTTTGAAGACTTTCAGAAAAGAGTCAAAGACTTATAACAAGTCTAAATGGTGAGACTATAATTTATGGACGACCTTTAAGCAACGCTTAACTTTTGTGTATAACCTAACTATTGAAAAAAAGCTTTATTCATACTTTCCACCTGTTTATGGTTGGGGTATTAGTCTCAGATTTTTAAGGAATAACAAACAGTTATAAAGTAAATATCTAGGCATTCAAGTAAAAGACTTATCAGGACTACTAGATTCTAACTCATTAATCTTAACATGACATGCTCATTACAAACACTGAAGAACGTAAGCTCAATCCCTGACTAAAGGAACAGTATGAAATACTGAGAAGTTCCATACTATAACAAAACAGATGTTATGGTATCATCACCAAGATTTGATTTGATAATTTCGAATAAATTGAGCATTGGGTAGATTGTTATAAATAAATAATATATTTGTAATATCCCAATGAGTAGAAAATTAGATTTTCTGACATTTCATGACTTAATGTAAGCCACTTCTTCAGTGAATAAATAATCAAATTAAAATTAATCCAAGTTTAAATAGTACAACGGAACAATAATTTTAATTTGGTTATTTGTTCTCTAAAGAAGCGGCTTACACTAAGTCATGAAACGTCAGAAAATCTAATTTTTCTACTCATCGGGATATTACAAATATATTGATTTATTTATTTAAAACAGATATTATGTTCCGTATAGTTATTGATTATTGTCTAGCTGAACACTTTCTAAAGAAAATCTTCTTAAAAGAAAATTTCAATATGTAATATTATTACTGAACTTACTAGTTCAGGTCTTATTGAAATCCAAACCAAAAATACATGTGATTCAGGTATTGGTATTTTCGTACAGAATCCAGGCAACGAATGGAAAAAATTCAACTTTGTCTACATGATAATAATGTATTGATATTAACAAAGAAACAAAGAGAAGAAAACGAAGCATACAATATGATAATTATCGTAATTCCTACTATAGTAGGAATTGATACTATCAATATTGATAAAAATCTTTAGTACAGTAGGTTTGTGGAGACAATAGTCATGTAGTGAATGAAAGCTTGGTGGGAATAACCAATTTATTGTATAGTACAAAATTACATTATATACATTATTTGAACATCTTTCTTCAGTTGTCCCTTACATACTTCATGATTCTTTGAATTCTGTTGTTATTACAATTATTCTCTGTTTACATTCCTGTTTTGTTCGATTCGATCTTCTTAATATTCTGCTGTCATGCATTCCACTTCTGGTTGATGTTACATACTACTTATATCCGTTAACATATGTAGAATACACGATAATCACATAATCAGTGAAAATTTAGAAAATATTGACCAGTCGTTTCATTCAGATATGTGATTCTTCAATGGTGGAACTTAGAACGTTCCGGTTTCGTAGCAAGCACATAACTTTTGGACCGCTGAGCTTGTATTCAATGGTTTATATATATATATATATATATATATATATATATATATATATATATATATATATATATATATATATATATATATATATATATATATATATATATATATATATATTTCTTAAATCATTTCGCGAATGTGAGTAATTATGATTCTAGTTCTATTGAAAGGTAACTCACTGCCCCATATCCAACCTAGTTATATTTCTTACTAGTACTCTATGAACTATTTCTTAAAATATCAGCCTAAATGTTTTCAAATCAGTAGATTTTTGACTATAAACATTTTCGACGAATGTATATAGAATTTGAAGAAGCCAGTTGAAAAATGAATACTTAAGTAACAATGAATGAAATTAACACAATACATGAATTTCATCTGAATGATCATTTGAAAAATTACTAATGTAAAAAGGTGTAATTTTACTTCAGTTATTATTTAATTATAATTTTGAATCGTTAGACCTCGGTAGCTGACTAATGTTTAGCTCCAGAAATTACTTCGAATGAATTGGCCACTTGATATTACTATGCAACACCAAATAGATCATATTTTATATGAAGACTATTATACCTGGAAAATTTGGATCCGTCAGCACTGCTGTAACTAGGTAGCTAACTGTTGTATCTGGAGGGAGGGTCTCCATTATTACATCTGCAGTCTTACTGCTTTTGTTTGACAGTTGGGAAACACTGTAGTTCCTCGATCTCGGTGCTTATACTGGGAAACGCAAGCCACTAGAATTCCCAAGAAGGACTAGTGCAATGAAGAATTACTGACTCTCCAAAAACACATCTCCAAATATGTCCCAAAATGACACCCGAAATCACATAAATAGGTACAGTTATTGCAAAAACACACAATAAATATAGTTCACCTGAATTGATACAAGGAATAACATTGTTACACTGAACGAGAGTTCACACTTATCATGTAGAACAAAGTTTACACCGAATCGACCTCAAAATTTCACATTGAGAGAAGTTCTCACCTGTCATATCAGAGACCTTATAGTAATTTAGATTCAGTGTGAAATAAGTATAATAGCATCACTCACGCTTAAATATTTAGAGTAATTCTAGAAGAATGTAAATTTCTTTATTGATTGAATTGTATGCTATTGGATTGATTTGATTATGCTCAACAGACTATTACATAAATCTTCGTAATGAACCCATGATTTTACACTCTAGTGAAAGATGGATCATCAGTATCTGGGCTATTAAGTACTGTAAAGTAATCTTGAGTGGGAAAACTTAGGAGTCAGATCAAGTTAGCCCAGATACTGCTGATATCCTTGTCTGCAATAATCTGGTTACCTATATTTATACTCACGAGTTATAAACATTATTATTTTGAAAATGAAGCTTCCCATTCGTCTTCCATCTATTTCCGCTTCACAGCTGGTTGGTTAAGGTTAGGAAGGTTTACTAGTGAATAAACCAAACAACAAAACTTAATATCACCCTCAGTCTAAAATTAACTATGAGCATACTTGTAACCGAATCTAGCTTACTGGGGCCAAGCATCTAATGTTTAATAGTGAATTTAAACATCACCAGGTCAATATCTCTTTTTACTGCTAACAAAATGTTTGATTAGCTTATCATCTTGTATCTCATAAGATGTTACACCAAACTGAAGTTTCGGTGTTTTAAGTAAATACGAACTGATAAAGTAATGATTATTTCTATGTGATATTTGTTTTTATCATAAACCTATACCAACTAGCCATACATTGAAGATTATACACCATTAGATAACTGTTTCAGTTTAAATTGAGACTTCTTACCACATTTTTTTACAGCCTAATTACTTTATAATGAGTAAATTGTTACTACATAAAATTAAATTCATGCTTTATATTTCACATCTATAAAGAATAACTATATCAAATGAAATTTTCATAAGTCATTTGGAACGTAACCCATCATAACAAAGTGTAATTATAGAGAATTATCAGGTTTGGACAGTTACTATTTATATAACAATATTGTTGATTGAAACTTTCAAGGTAGGTTAAATCTCCAATTTTCAAACCTTATAAAGTTGATCTTATTTTGATAGTCTACTTGAATCTTAGTAATATCGTCTTTCTCTTTCTTGAATAATGAACGTGAGAACTATTACATAACTCTCATTTTATTGTCAGTTTTACATTTGCTGTCAAAAGGTTCACGATGTGTATTGTGATGTGCGGTGTCCGATTCTGATACTATTACGCGATCTCCCTATACACCAGCTCAATAAACTATTCGAGTGAAAAGTCTGATAATGAAGAATGAAATTTATTTATTTACCTGATTAGCATGCAGATATACTTGAAAAATCCGGCCACTGATGGTGTATATCTCATTCCTAAGAAATGTAATTCATATGTCGGCTAATCACATGCATTTATATTTTGATCGATTTCTGATTGACTCAGTGTATAATCTTTCTAGTAAGTCGAGATAAGAAGGCGAATTCACGTTTTCTCTGACTCAATGTAACATTATATGACTTAATTTTTATTATCAATGTGGCATTTCGACATCGGGATTATGTTTTCCAGTGTAAGATTATTGCAGGTCAATATGTTTGTACTAATTAAGTATAAATTTCGTTCAGTAGGACAGGTGTGAACATTCACCAATTGTGACAGTTATATTCTTTGTATTATTCTGTGTGAAGCTCGCATGTGTTTCACAATGACCTTAAGTATCTTTCCATTTTTATGATGTTAATTAACTAATCATCAAATATGTGTAAAATCTGTGTATAAATGTGTGTATGTAGTTTAAGGATGACGTAATTTTGACTGGTTTTCGAGACGTGTTTTTGGAGAACTAGTAAATCATTAGTGATTCTGGTACCTGTATTTTCGCTTTGTCTCTTAAGAATTATGGTGGTTTTCATCCCAAGTATAAGCTGTAAGACCGCCGATGCAACAGAACCAATACATACATAACAAAAGCGACGCTAAGCATAACGTGTTTCTTTCTGAAAAATGGGTCTGGCTTCATGGATTCAGATGAAGGGGTTGGGAAGGAGACATATCAACATAGAGACAGAAATAATTCTAATCGGAAATAGAACTACTTACCTCAACTATTTCAGTCCATATTAATGGCTCATTCATTAGTGCTTTTTCTAAACCTTTTAAAGTTGGCAATTTTTCTTCCAACAGTTGAATACGTTTAAGAACCTGATAATATATATGGAAATAAAATTGAATGATTTTTCATGAAAGGATTTTTATACAACTTTTGCTCAGAAGAATACATTTTGAAAAATATATTACCATCTGATATCAGTAATTTGACAATGGTACTGTAATGTACTTATACAGAAGAAACATCAAAAATGAATATTGGACTGAATTGTTTTAGCACAGATGTATAGAAAGCAAATTGCTCTGTACGCTAGCTTATTTTCTTAGATGAGTTGTTGTAAGAGTTTATAAATAGCTTAAATGGATTAAGCAATTTGAATCACTGTTGATGCTAAATAGATATCTACTTGTTCATCAGAGGGTAAATATCTAACCTGAAAGTTCATACAATTAATAAAGATGAATCGCTAAAAAGTTTAACTGTTTGATAGTTATAAGAACCTCTTGTCGGTATGCGGCAGTTCGCTCCGTCTTCATTTATAGGTATGAAAAATAGCCATTAAGAGTAGAGGATATTCATAGGTTACTAGTATCCTACAATAGGTTTCTTCGAAGCTTTACTCGTGTATTTTAGGAACACCGAGTAAACAATCCCCAGGTTAAAAATAGGCTACTAGATGGTAAATCTTCATCAGCTGAGGGGACAAGAATATGTATTACGTGTCCCAGACCACGGTCTATCTTGACGGACGATATTTTCTGGTGTAGGAGTAGGTTAGAAGAATGTTAGAGGGGGGAAAAACCAAAACATAGCATCAGCCCACAATGTCACTGACAATCGGACTGAACTATATTAATAGGTATCGACTACCTGGTCGGGATTCGCGTGATTATCGTAACCAATATTTAGAGACTTTGAGTGACATGGCTCAAAATCACTTACAATGATGCAGGTGTATCCATTCTTTGTTCTTCCTCAATGTCTGACCTACTGCATTCCTTATAACTTTCTTTGTGTTTTTGTTTCACTAATTTATATTTTTTTGAATCGTTTCTTCGACGCCTAATTTTTTCTATCACTACTCATATTGGTGCTACTTGTATTATTCTAGAAATTGGGCTGACAATTTCATCTCTCGGTGCTAATGAGGTATGGCAACTTGAAACAGGTTGTAGGTTGTGACTGATTGATTTATTCGTGAAAATTTCAGTCATTTCGAACAACATTATCATCATCCTCTTTATGCAGAAATAACCTTTCCAGTTGTCTCCTAAGCACCAAATCAGTTGGTTCTAATGATCCTGTTCATGATTGGTTTATTTCACAAGCTTCTCTGTTTATGTTAGCCTTTGTATTCCTACTGGTTATTTGCTTGACTTCTGAACATCTGCCTGATCGACATATTTCGTGTGTATTGATAAGTCAAACCTACACTGCTGTATCTATCGATAGGTCCCTAATCTGAATTCCCTGATATTCTTAGGACCTATTCTGCTGGTAATTTTCGACGTTCACAATCAAATTAATGTTCATTGTCGTCTACGTGTGTCAGGAATAAAATATCGTGTGTTTTCATTGGTAGTATGTCTTTGTGAAGGTTCTGTCCTCCTACTGCAGTGTAGTGTCCTTCACAGGTGGTGCTATCTACTCTATAGAAAGATGTTATCTCTGTCTTTTTTCTCTGTTGTATAATTCGATCTACATCAAATCAAATGATTCGTGTGAGTTGGTTAAGGAGTGACATTGACTCTATAAGGATTTCAGTACACTTCTCATCTCTGAGATATTCTATACAAATATTAAACCATAATGAAATGTGACTGATCAAATTATCTTGAATAATTGATCGATTTTCAATTATAGTAATTTTTTGTATTGATAAATTCATTTGACAAATGCATAATTATCAGTATAGGGGTTAGACATTGGATGCCGGCTCAGTGGTCCAGTAGGTTAAGCGTTAGCGCACGAGACTGAAGGCCCTGGGTTCGAATCTCACGAGACGAGATCGTGGATGCGCACTTCTGAGGAGTCCCACATTGGGACGAGACGGTCGTTCAGTGTTTCCAGGTTTCCAATAATGATCTAATATCAGTCGGTTCATGATCTCAATCTAAATGTATAATTATTAAAGCTTACCTCTGATTTATTGTGATTGAAACAATTTTGATAGTTATATTCACATGTAAAAATATTACTGAAAATGATTTGTTTAAATAGTTCAATTTCAGTTATCTGATCTGGATTATGTAATTCATAAATAGTTAATTTAGAATATTGAAGTATATTAAAATATATTGAAATTTTTATTTGCATTATTAATCCTAATGGATTGTTCCATGTGTTTAAAGCATTGAGAAAGAATTCCAATAAAGTATGTATAATTCGTCGACCAATTTCCTTGCAGAAAAGATAAGAAAGAAACTTATGAACTTCTAATTATAAAACGTTCAAATTACAATTAATTTAATGTTACTGTTATTAAGTTTATATTGCTGAATTCAAAAGTGGTTAGATTATTTAAGACAACTATTTAGTAATTTATTAAAGCTCATTCTGTTATATCCCGATAAGAATAAGGAATGGTAACCTTTGGGATCCATTTATGGAACAATACTATAGGTATATTTTTGTCACATAATTGTTAGGTAACTGAACTATTCATATAAGCAAAGATGAATAGTGGCTAGCAGTGGAACCCAGTTTGACGCGCGTTTCGTCCTATTTGGGACTCGTCAGCTGGATGTACCTGCATCTCAGAGTTGATGTTCACTCTGGGACTCGAACCCAGTACCGTCCGCTTCAAACGCCATCGCGTTATCCACTTAGCTACTGAGTCCTGATAGCCACTTGCTTGTGCAATGGGGTAAAGTTTAATTCACTTAATATTGTTTTACTTGAATCTTCCCATTGATGTTTAGGACTGCATTTGATCAGTCTCTTATTGGCATATGTTTCCCGGAGTAAATATCAACTCTGAGATGCAGGTACATCCAGCTGAAGAGTCCCAAATAAGACGAAACGCGCGTCAAACTGGATTCCACTGCTAGCCACTATTCATCTTTGCTTATAATGCTTGTAAATTAAGGCAATATCGAGGCAATACGCACAGTATGCACATATGCCAATTAGAGACTGAACAATTTCAGTCCTAAACATCAATGGGAAGATTCAAATAAAGCAATATCAAGTGAATTAAACTATTCATATTTGTGTTCCTCTTATTATAAGCTTTATTTTGACCTATGAACTATTATTATACGATTTACCATTCTTGAGTTATGCCCAGTCTATTAATTACTATCTCCCGCATTCACTGCCACATTTGGCTAAATCTTGTATAAATGTTGTTTCCTATTTTATGGTAGGATGTGGTCTGTTTAGTTGGTATATAAACCGAGTATGTTTGAAGTAAATGATTCATATTTCAGAGGCTGAGATTGGTGTTCTGGACTTAAGAAACTGGTCTAGGAGGAAAGCAGGACCAATTAGGACTCTAGACTACTCGCACGGGTTTTAAGCGTCATTGATCCGATCGATAATTCACTGCTCTCTAATTGGCGGTATCATTACGTTATACATTGATAGGGGCACAGAGTACGAGTTATAACACATTCAGTTAAAATGTCACATATCAGTGTTAATCGTAAACTGTCAACTATTTAGTAACAAATTGAATTCATAATTATCTTCATTGACTTTCGGTAGCTCTCATATAAATAATCGTAGACTATTATTCCAATTAAATATAGAATAAAAAAATGAAATAAATCAATGAGATGAAACAAGGAATTTGCTCATCAATTCAGCAGGACTCTAAATGGTTCGATAAGACTATACTCTTCATCCATAAGTTATTAGACCACAGTTTATATGACTAATTCTTGATGAATCTCAGAGAAACACATAAATGAAATCCATATGTTAGAAAATCTGTTTCACAATCAATCATTAACCGAAAAGTCACTTTGCTGAATTTAGTTGTCGGAAAAGGTTACACAGTGATTTCACTGTATTCTGTCAGTTTAAATCACAATATTTTCATCCTGAATTTAAATCTAACTGTTATCTAAGTTTAATTTTTACAGAATTAACTGGATGTTTTGATAAACTTCATGGGACAATGAAGCGGTTAATCACATTTTATCACAGTATATGTTCCATTACGCATGATCTTAAAACAAATTAAATTGAATTCTACAAACCCAGTGACAGGTTAGTATACATGTAATTATCATGAAAGGTTTATTTTGTGTTTAATGGATGTCAATTACATTGATGTAAATATTAAAATCCTATGTTCTTATCAAATTGAGGTAAAATAAGTCTTGGTGCGTCTATAAACAGTGCTTAATAATGTACTTGTACGGTGGCTGATAGATGACCACAAATGTTTTCTAGGAAATGGAGAACAGCATGTATGAAACATTTAAGCATCTAACATTGTATTAACTACAGTATATCATCGAATAGTTCCATTTGTTGACCAACAAAACCCCGGTTAATGATGAAGCATATGCTATGAATATTGTGGTAGATAATATGAGTGTTTCCATTTCATTACGAAACAGCGTGAGTTAAATGTTCTATGATATTAAACATTTATTAAATAAAATTCAGTTATGAGTAAAGAATTGTTCCGAAGTGAATACTCAAATAGTTATATAATAGCCATTTCTCCCATTTAGAAACTAACCAATGTAGATTTTTAATCCAATATGATGAACATGGTCTATAGCACCAAAGACGGATTCTAAAAGTTTCATGTTCTCTAGGCCAAATGCTCCAAAAAGAAGTGATCTATTAAAAGTTCTCCGGGTCAGGGAAACGAAGAAGATAATGAGAGCATCAAGTTGATGAAATCATTTGTTAGTCGCCTAAGAAATTTTGATGACTCATGTTTTTTGGTATTTAGGTTGTTAGCGTTGTTCAGAATGACAATCAACCTTTTACAAATAAACTATCTAGTTCAGAGATCACAGATCCTCTAAAAAGTTTAATCCATACAAAAACATTGACAGAATAACATCAATCAATTATTCTCCAGTGAACAACAAAGATAAGGTTACTATAATACAGAATCAAGTCAAACATTAATTGTATCTTCACTTGGTATTGTTTGGCTTGTATCTTCTCATTGAGGTTTAAGACTGTAATTGATCAGTCTGTTCTTGGCATCATTGCTTACATTAATTGCATCGCACTACAATTTACTTTAGTTACACGCATTAAATGTCGAAACAAATATAAAACAATAAGTAAATAAGAAAACTGTACAAGTAACCATTTCAAACAAGAAAATATGTTAGTCATCTACCTGTATTTCATGTTCATAATTGATAAATAAATCAGATGGTGAATTGATTTCATTAAGATCTTCCAAATGGGAAGAATATAAACTTTGATCATACTTTGATATAATATATTCACATAATCGTTTACATGGCCAACGAAATGAAATATAATCTTTATTTTGTATCTCTTCTAAACTATTAAATAATAATGATATTTTACGAGTAAAATTTATTATACATCCAATTGTATTATATTGATTAGTAAATATACTAAGTTGATTGTTTAAATGTTCATGTTGTAATTGTATTTCATTGAAATGCATAATATTACTTGATAATCTTGAAAAGATTTTCACTAATTCAATATGTTGTCTTGTTAAATTCAAACAATCTACATTGAATTGAATTGAAGTAGTATTGAACATTGAATTATTTATATCAGGATGGAATAATTTGTAATTTGTTAATTCATTTGATATATTCAATAGTTGAATCTATGAAGAAAAAATAAAAGATAAAAAACAATAATAAAAAAATTGTCAGTTTGGATTGTGGAGATGATTAAGTTTTTAATTGAGATCATGAATCGATTGATGCTAGATCACCATTGAAAACTTGAAAATACAGGACGGTCATTTCGTTCTATTGTGGGACTTCTCAGCAGTGTAGCTAATCCGTGTCGGGTAGAGACATGTATTTACTTCAGTACAATGGAAAATGATCGCGCAATTCCGTGGATTAGTTAAAGTTAGAGATTAACACCGTTAAATGCCGGCTCAGTGGTCTAGTAGGTTAAGCGTTAGCTCACGACACTGAAGGCCCTGTGTTCGGATTCCGCGAGCGGGATCGTGGATGCATGCCGCCGAGGAATCCCACAATAGAATGAAACGACCTTCCAGTGTTTCCAGGTTATCAATGGTGGTCTAACATCAGTCGGTTCGTGATCTCAATCAAGAAAATCGTATTTATATTTCTATATTAGAATGCATTTTTTAAAATTAGGTATTAGTTGGACAGTAAAGGATTTATGCTAATTTATAAAGTTCATAGTGAGTTTGAAAATTTCAATCGTTATTTAGTCGAGTAGTTTGTGGAGATAAGTAAAGTATTCATCAGTGAATAAACTTGAAAATAATTCCAGGAGTTCTAGTGATAGACCATGATCGATAAATTTAACCACACCGAGTATGAGGCAGTTACCTATTAGTGACCTTGGATGAAAGTCTTACAATGTCATATCATATCTTACAATATCAAGCTAGAAATGTAAACGACCGGATGAATAATTATTGCTTTGAAGGTCAAGTACTGACTACAAGATCAGTAAGTTCTAGATTCGATCCCTGGCGCGGTAGTATGTGTGTACTACCGATGGGTCCCACACTAAGATAGGGTAGAAAACCAATTCTTCTTGATTCCCCCCTACTCGTATTCTAAGTGAAATCAGTGCATGATGTAAATTACGAAATTTGTCATGTTTTTCCTATAGTGAGTTGACATCAGTTGAAGAAGCGTTGAAAACCAAGAAGCACAAAACTACTGTTTTAAACATGTTTGAATATCTCAAACGGAAAGTACAGGCGAATCGACCAAGTATCGAAACGAAGAGCTTACATTACATTTAGATCACTGCATCAATGCCCAGCCATCCGAATTTCCAATTTTACTCAACTTGCGATGAATATATAATATAGCTAATACCAATGAACCAATCAACTAAGCAATAAACATGTGATCACTAGCGATAACCTCTGTCAATGATCTTAAAATTTCCATTGGCACGTCATTAGCAATGAATTCCGTCCATACAGAAAATGTAACGGTGATCACTAATGACTTTAAATGATAGATGAGACTGCATTTAGCCCACAGACTTATGTATTCCGACTCAATTTTCTAGATGTAGTATACGCGCCAAGATATCTGGAAATCATTAGTTTGATCCCTGATGGTGCTAAGTGTGCACTGTTAAAAAGTCACAAACGAGAATAAGACGGGCATCCAGTTCTCACTT